ATATAAATACATCGTCAGCAGACGAATGGAGTGAAGATGAAACACCCAGTTAATTTATTCACCAAGCCAAGTTTTCCTTTCTAATGGAATCTTTTAAAGGACTGTTTATGTGTCCTGGTGCCAGTATTCAGTGTTGTTTCAGTTCGTTATGTGTAATTTTCCATTCAGTCTCCCTACGGCGTCGCATCACAAAACAAGTCACCTCTAAACAGTTTAAATGGTCCACTCAAGAGCCAACAATTCCTGACAGACAGAGCTGAACATAGCATCTCAGCTTATGATCCTAGTGATCACAGGGAAGAACCATCGCTAGCAGGTTGCTGGATCATTGGAGGAGCTTATTTTATGTAGGTTTTAATTCTTGTAGTAGATAATCGCAAGAGACAGAACTCTGAAGGAGGAAATAGTTGGTCTTTCTGCAGGGCTGATCTAACAGTGGCATCATTTCAAACAGGGCTTGAAGCCCTCTGTTATCCCCAGAAAGCTGGTCCTGTGTGCCCAGTGTTACAATGGCAATAGTAGTTGAGTTGCAGTACTCGTAGTTTTACGTGTACTTGCCGTAAGTTGTCGCTCAGTGTGCACATTTATTAATCTAAGATAAACAACAAAGGTGACATGCTTTGTTTCCAGGGTGCAGTTACTTTAATTATTTAATAGTCTGACAATTGCTTTTTAAAGTAAATGAATAAAGTTACTAAAGTTTGTCTGCAAGCTTGAGTCTGTAAATGGCATACTGCAGTTCTCACAGTCACACCATGTTAAGTCTTCATACTTTACAGTTTCTGCTGTAAATTTCTTGTCTTGAAAATTTCTAGTGGACTTATTTCAGCTTCACTTTCCCTTGCATATGTATAATGTGTATATATTGTAGTTTGCAGCTTTATGTGTTGGCAAAATTTCAAAACTACCAGCTTTACTTGTTTAGCTTTACTTGTATCATATCTAATGACTTTTTAAAAAAAAAATTGCTGGCAGTTTTAGAAAAAGCTCTGCATGATATGTTACCTTAGATAAGTTTAACTTTGACTGCAGCTGAACTTATGTAATTGGAATCACTCCTCCACAGTCCTCTCTGTGATAAAGAAACATCATCAGACCAGCTCCTCTGCTGTACTTTGACTCCATCTGCTGGCTGTTTGCAGAATTGCATCATTAAATAGAAATTCTGACTTTTCTTAGCAGGCTGTGTAAATACTTGTGGTGAAGGGCTCCCTTTCATTTGCTTAACCACAACTGCATTGCTGTTGTGCAGTTGTACGAATATACAAAAGACTGAGTCAGTAATAGGGCTGCACGATTTTGCATAAAATGAGAATCACGATTTTTTGGCTTAGAATTGAGATCACGATTCTCTCACGATTTTCTTTTCCAGTATAAATATTTATTGCACTTATTAACTGCACATCAACTTCGTAACAGTTGAGACTGAACATAAAAACAATAAATAAACATAAAAACAACAAATGTCTCACGTTTTGTTGTTGCCGCAAAATGTTGTACTGCTTGAAATTCCGTCTCCACCGTTGCTCGACACTGCGTGTATAGAGCAGGTAGTGCAACAATAGAAAAATAGTTGCGGGACGGCACTGTGTAGCGTTTGTCTAGGGTGTTGATCATTTTCCTAAATCCCTCGTTTTGCACAGTGTTGATGGGAGCCATATCTTTGGTCAGGTGATAAGTGATAGCCTCCGTAATTTCTTTGTGCCTGCGGGAGTTCGACGGGTATAGGGAAGCGCTGTATAAGGTTCCCGTTATTGATGTTTGGGTGGTTGACCGGGACGGATTTTCTCCTGTCACTTTCTCGTCATCCCTGACGTGCTCTCCGTTGTTTTTTCCCTGCTAATTTTAGCATCACACGGCACAGCTTCTGTATCACGTGGTATAAGGCTCCGCCCTTGTCATTTGTTGAGCAGAAAGAGTGAGCGCTTGTTTTCATGCAGATTACGTCCCGGATCAAAATGCGGTACAATCGTCGTCTTTTTTTTTTTTTTTTTTTTAAATCGTTGTCATTTGGAAATGAGATCGCACATAAGTATGAATCGAGATCGCGATTTTCTAACGATTGATCGTGCAGCCCTAGTCAGTAATAAATCTTTGATCCCCAGCAAAGATCTTCCTGATGGGATTTTTGTATTTTAACATGGCACTTGTGTATCTAAACTTCACAAGAAAGCTTCAAAAAAATCTTCAAGTTTAATCTTCGTCAATGCACTTTCATGAGTACAATATTAGCATTAGCAGCTGTCTAGTTAAACTAGATGTCAGTGATATGAAGAGATTTTGCTGCAAATGGGTGCACAAAAGTAATGTCTACCAAAAAGTTCTGTATGAAACTAAGTCACTTTTAGTGCTGCACAGAGTTTCAAAAGTACATTTGAAGGTGCCTAACTGGCAAATATTTTTACTGTCAAAGCGCTGAAATGCTGCCTGTTTAAATGAGAAAAGCCTGTGAGGCTGTTACTTTCAAGTGTAAAGTGCTCAGCCAAAAAATGTCCATGAAAGCAAGTACAATGATTTAATCATAATGATTTAAACAAACTAAAGCTAACACTGTAATACCCATCTCTCTTCTCTCAATATTAAGCCTATTTCTGACATTTCTGATTTATTTATGAAATAGTTTTTCTGTGCATGCCATAAGGTTTTTTTCCTCTGTGAGATGAAAGCACCTTTTCCATTAGTACCTACTCTGCTTAACTCGCCACAGTTTTTGGGGTTTTCCATTAGGTCATAGTACCCGGTACCAGGTACTAAAATAGTACTGCTCGGCCGATCTACCAAGTAATCCGATACTAAAATCTGACGTCATCAGATTGCATGCCACCGATTGGCTGGTCAGTGGTGTCACTTGATGAATCATGAGTCTCTCGTTTCCGAAAATCAAAACCGCCATTTTTGAAACGACGCTGTGGTCCCCGAGTCTGACGAAAAGCCACAGACCGAGCAGTGATCGACGTCCACCTTTGCTGTAGCGTTCGTATCGCATACTAAATGCGTCACAGGACGCTCAGCAGCATTGCTATGACGATGACCATTCACATTTAAGCTGTACTCTATTGTAATGGAAAAGCAGTCGATCCAAGTCGAGTCGTGGCGAGTTAATCTGAGTAGGTACTCCAGGGAAAAGGGGCCTAACCCTCACAATGTCCAGGTTAATTTGCGGGGAGGCAAAGAATTTAGTGCTGGTAACGCAGGAAGACATCCCATCAACAGACCAAAACTGTTGGCCTGTATTTAGACTACAAACAAGACTGGCAAACTGTCTTTTAAAAAACATGATCTGAATCCTTTTACTGAAGCCAGGACAGGCTTGTCCTCATCCTGACTAGTTACCAGGGTGCTTTACTGCTTACTCAGGCAAGGTCCTATAGCTTGAGTTGTTGCTCTTTTGGTCTGAGTTTTTGGGGAATTGAATGCAAGTACATAAACAATGGATTTTAAACAGTTTGGCTCACAGGGGCACAAACCTGGGACATGTCATACAAAAGCAGTACTGGCCATACAAGTCAGGACTGTTGCTGTTCTTGTTGTTATACCTGTGCTGTATACCTGCAGGACTGGTCTGCATACATTTAATTCAAGCAGTGTGCTTTACCTTATTTAACAGAAAACTCTGGATTTTGCTGATATTTTTGACCTGAATTTTGTATTTGGCTAAACTAAATAGCACTTTAAAAAATTGTTACTTTTTTTAGTAAACCCAGAAATCTTTTTTGTTTGGCAAATATTTGTTTATGTGGAGTAAAAACCCCACTCTGGCCTGCATATATCACAGGAATGACCTGACACTGGCACATCTTTATAGATGTCAGCTGTGCAGGCCAAAATATCTAAGAGTTGCTAAGTGGTGTAAGTTATAAATAAGGAAGAACCTTTCAGTTTCAGAGTAGTACAAGTATTTGACATTCTGGTGTTTGGATTAGTTTAAGTAATCTAAGTTACTTCTAGCTCTTGATTTATGTTAATTTACAGAAATGTATGTGGGACCTTTGAAGTTTAGCATAGATAATCCACTCTGCCATCCATGGGTGGCAGTGTAAACTAGTAAAGTGTTAAAATAAAGATGGGAGATAAATCCAAAGATGGAGTGTTTTTGCTGACGCTGTCTTATTTTGCCCTGCACTGACACTCTCCCCTGAGGAAATGTTGCTCTTCTGCTTTTTCTTGCATATCACACTAATGCACAGTCATCAAGGTCATAGAACGTGGAGCTGTTTATGGTTTATGTCTGTGCTGGAAGAAGATGAACCTCTGAAATCACTGAGATGTTTGTCTTTCCAGCGTGACAAAAAAAATCAGTCTTCCTGCTCAGTGTGTTAGTGCCTAATTGTTCCATACGGTGGACTGTGTGAAAGCATCTACATTTGTTGTTACTCTACTCTTTTAGTCTTTAGGGTTTAATTTGTCACTTTGCCTGTATTTTAATTATAGAAGAATATCTATACTAGTAGTGCTACTAGTTGTCTAACTCCAGTGTCCTGCAGGCTGGTGTGATCATTACAGTGTTTAATCTGTATTCATGAGTTTGCTCACTCCCGCCCTCAGCCGTAATTTTGATCTTGTCTGCAAAGCTGTTAAATTTCATGACTTTATATCATGCAGTAATTGCGATGTTTGTTCACAGACATGAATAATAACAGCCACACTGTTGCAGATAGTAAAATAATTGTTTTTTTTTAATTATTTGGCCCTTTTAGTTTTTGAATTCTTGTTTAAATCCACAAGAAAGTGATGATGCTGTCTCCATCTGTCATGTCTGTTGTACCCTCCTTTAACAGAACTAAGCTTTAAAAAAGCAATTATTTATTTATTTTCTTTTTTGTGCATGTCATTAATTTGTAAATCTGAGGAACGGGGAAATAAGACGATTTACTTAAGAGCCTCCATCCAGTCTCTTTTATTTTTTTAACCCTCAGTGCTGTTCCCCTTTTGTTACTGTGCTCTGCGATGTTGTTGCTCAAGTCACTCAAAATATTTTTTTCTCTTTGCTTTACTTTCAGTTCTACAAGCATGTTGTCCAGAGTGTAGAGAAGTTCATACAGAAGGTGAGTTAATGCTTTAATTAGAAGCATGAGCCACATCCAGGCAGGTGCAGAGATATTCGTTTGTTGCTCTGCTGTTCATATATCTCAACACCAGCTGTCTTTCTTCGACAGTGCAAGCCTGAATACAAAGTCCCAGGGCTGTATGTCATCGACTCGATCGTCAGACAGTCCCGACACCAGTTTGGCACAGAGAAGGACGTATTTGCCCCGCGCTTCAGCAAGAATATCATCTCGACGTTCCAGCACCTCTATCGCTGCCCTTCAGATGATAAGGTTAGACCATTTTTAATAGGTTTTCTGTTCCTCTCTGTGGCTTCTCATTTCTCGGTTTCCCAGGACATTATTGTGACATACAGGGCGTTCGAATGAGTGCGATCTGTTTTGTGAATGAGTATGAATGTCTCGTGTGTGATCGGTCACAGAAATATTTAAAGATCATGTGTCTTAGAGAAGGTTTTTGAGTAAATAATTTGTCTTATTGTTTTTGTGTCATCCAAATTCCAGAGTAAGATTGTGAGAGTTCTGAATCTGTGGCAAAAGAATGCGGTTTTCAAGAGTGACATCATTCAGCCTCTGTTGGATATGGCAGCGGGGATTCCTCCTCCCAGTGTCACACCCGTCATGCCCAGCAGTGCTGCCCCGGTCAACAACACTACACCCGGTCAGTAGAAGCACATTAAAGTTCAGATTTGCTCTTCTAATCACTGCTACTGTGGTGTTTAACATATCTGAACACGGCAACCTCGTGATTCTCTCTGTGTATCCAGGGACCCCGGCTACACCGGCCACTCCAGCCAACATAGTGCAGGGTCTGCCTGACTGGGCTTCGCAGATTACCAACACCGACACTGTGGCTGCTGTGGCCCAGATCTTGCAGAGTCCCCAGGGACAACAGGTAAGTGAACACATCCTCCCAAAAAGTGTTTACATCAAAGCAGCATGTGTAGCTGTCGGAGTAAGAAGGTGTTTAACTTACTTTGTTGTCGCCTGTTACAGCTCCAGCAGCTGGTGCAGAGTCTGCAGATGCAGCAGCAGAAGCCCCAACCGTCCCTGCTGCAGGCCTTGGATGCTGGCCTAGTGGTGCAGTTGCAAGCTCTGACAGCTCAGCTCACTGCGGCAGCTACTGCCAACAGCCTCAACCCCCTGGAGCAGAGGGTCTCCTCTTTTAATAAGGTAATGCTGCAGTCAGCAGCTGTGAGTTTATTTTTATGCTTCTGTGGCAGCCAGAGCTGGAGGCGTTATGTTTTTGAGTTGGGTCCATGTATATATGCACATCTCGGTTTTATTGGAGTTTTGTTCTTTTGTATTTGCAAAAACATTTGCATTCATTGAAACAAAAAACACTTTTCTTTTTGTAAGAATTCATTGGCCAGCGAGAAAGAAATGAAACAGAAATCTATAAAAGAGTTAAAACACAAAGTTAGTGGAATTTTGTATGTAAACAGTCAAAGGTCTTGTGTGCATGGATGTTGTTGAAGGCATGCATCCTTGCTTCATTTGAATTCTCTTTACTTCTACTCACATTTTGTTTCTGTTGCAGAAACTTTTGGGTCCTTTTGACTTTGGGAACGATTCAGAGCGTAATGAAGAATCTAAAAAGGACAGCTCAACATCTCAACTGTGAGTTCAGTGTGTTTGACGTTTGTTTTAGTCCTTCATTAATAGTGATTCTGCTGCTTCCACCTGAGAGTTTGTGTCTAATCACGCTGCTGACTGCTTCCAGGCCCATGGTGTCGGAGCCCATTAACAGCTCCCTCTTCCATCAGTTGGCTGAGCAACTTCAACAGCAAAACCTGGAGCAGTTTCAGAAGCAGCTGCTGGAGCATCAGCAGAAGGTAGAGCACACACACACAGAGCGGCCTTCTTGTTCAACATTATGTTTGTTCTGGATTTATGATTTGCTACAACTTGCATTCTGCATTTTTTTGCAGGCAATGAACATAGAAGGGCAGGACTCGATCTTTGGGCAAGAGAACTCAGTTTCGAATGCTCAGAGCAGCAGCCACCCTCAGCTTCCAGAGCCAGAGAATAAGATCGACGACTCCATAGACAACCAGCAGCAGGTATGCCCGTGGGCCATTACTGCAACTTTACACTAACTTAGAGGTTGGTGTATGCACTTAATATTTGGAAAGAAATGCATGTCTAAAAGCAGGACTGCATTAAATGATTAGTTAGCTCTAGAGATGGGCTTTACCTGAAATTACCCATGGGTTTTCTAGGACATGGATCTAGATGAAGGCCCGGATGGGATGGAAGAGGAAATCTTTGAGGCTGAAGAGAAGAAGACCTTGAACACACGGTCTAGAACAAGGTCAAGGTCACGCTCCAGGTTGGTTTGACTTTTGATACATGGGTTTGATGTTTAAAAGGAACAGGCTCAGGGTTTAATATTAGCATGACAAAAAGTCAGTATGGAGAGAATTCCCAAAAGGTTTGGCGTTGTTTCTCCCTAGGTCTCCAAAGAGGAGAAGGTCTAGGTCGCGCTCCGGCTCACGGAAACGCAAGCATCGAAAACGGTCGCGGTCACGCTCTAGAGATCGCAAGAGGAAGTCCTCGCGGTCTTATTCTAGTGAGAGACGCGCCCGAGAACGAGAGAAGGAGCGGCAAAAGAAAGGACTTCCTCCCATACGGTCCAAGACTCTCAGTGGTAAGAGGAAGTCATTGTTCTGTTCTGTTAAATATTTTAAGTTTACCACCTGCAAACCTTTTTTTTCCCTGATGAGTAAAAGTCCCATTATTTTTTCCCCATCTCGTTACCTAGTGTGCAGCACAACTCTGTGGGTGGGCCAGGTGGATAAAAAGGCCACTCAGCAAGACCTCACCAATCTGTTTGAAGAGTTTGGCCAGATTGAGTCCATCAATGTAAGCAGACCTCTCCCTCCTTTACCCTCTAATTTTCTTGCAGTGTGTAGTTTTGATCTCTTAACAAGAAACGTAATGACGGTGCCCCAGCCTGTCATTACTGTAGCTGTTCCTAATGATCTGTCCTGTGTGTTTTTTAAATGCCTGTCTTACTAGCCTTCTTTCACCAGACACACAAATCTGCCAGTATTCTCCGCTACGCTCTTTTGCTCTCTTTAACCTCCCCTGTCCTCGTGTCTCTCTGCAGATGATCCCTCCCAGAGGTTGTGCCTACATCTGTATGGTCCACAGGCAGGATGCATACCGTGCCCGTCAGAAGCTCAGCACCGGCACGTTTAAGATTGGCTCCAAAATCATCAAGGTCCACATTACCTATACAGTTTATTCCATTGTGTTCTTTGTTCGTTCTACACGGTGAAGCTTTAGATTTAGGTGCACATGGTTGTATATTACAGGAAGCTACTATTAAAAAACAATAATACTAATCTGTTATCTTGACCTTTTGTGCGTCTTTGATCCAGATTGCGTGGGCTCTGAACAAAGGTGTAAAGCAGGAGTACAAGCAGTTTTGGGATGTGGACCTGGGTGTCACGTACATACCTTGGGAGAAGGTAAAGCTGGATGACCTGGATGGCTTTGCCGAAGGAGGAATCATCGACCAGGAGACTGTCAATGACGGTAAGAGGAAAGGAGCCTTTCTTTGGCACAGACTCAGGCTCTGTTAATTCTGTGGCGGTGTTTGTTGAAATAAAAGCAGGACAAACATGCGAGTTTGTGCACAAATGATGAAAACAAAACAGTTATCCAGGCAGACAAATCTTGGCATTTCATCATCTAAGTGAATTTACTCTCTGCTCCATTCCCTTTATTTATTATCCACTGGAAAACTCGGTGAGGAATAAGATTGAGTTGGAAAGAAAGAACTGAACTCCTTAATCCAAACAAATAATTGAACAGTATTTGTTAACATTTTTTTTTTTTTTTGGTCTGTGTCTGCAGAGTGGGAAGCTGCCAAGAATACTGAACAAGCCAAGGAAGCTGCAAGTCAGCCAGTAAGCACTGAGACTACAGCAGCATCTAACACCCAAACCGAGACCTTCAACCAGCAGGTTACCATGATGCCAGTGCAGGTACAGTCTGCCTGTAAACTGTAAAAGGAGTACACCTCCATGATTTGATTCTGATTAGTTTAGCTACACTGTTGTAAACCATTAAGAAACTTTGAGTTGCTGAAATGTGTTAAGGGATTTGTGTATCATAAAACTTGGGAGGTTACACTATTTTTCTTTTAACAGCGTTTTGTTTACACAGTCTTATATCCCTCGTATTCAGCTTCCGGTTGCACAGGCAGTTCCCAGTGCGGTCGGTTTGGTGCCTCCTGCCTTCCCTGTCACCATGGGCATACCTCCGCCAGGTTATGGGCCGCCGCCACCCTTCATAAGGGCCAGCTTCAATGCCTCACAACCTCCGCCAGGTAAATGATGCACGTGTTGTAAAAAGATGAGGCAATGAAAAATTGACCAGCTTACACAAATGATTCTTTCTTGTCCAGGTTTCATGCAGGCTGCTCAGACAGCAGGAATGGCCTCAGCATCTGCCTGTGAGTATCTATATGCTTCACCTATGACCAGTACATGGATGTGAGTTTGAAAGTGGAGCTCCCTATTAGACCGTCAGGTTTAAATATGTTTTTGTTTTGTTTTTTTACCTGTAGCTCTGGTTCAGCCTTCAGTGGGCTCCAGCCAAGATGCTGTCAAGGATTCACCATTCGGTGCTATGATTCCTCCAACAAGCACCATCCCGGGTAGCTTCATGCCCTCGGCTATCCCAGGAGCTGGCGTGTTCAACCCAGTGGGAGTGCAAACTCAGCAGGCCGCTAATGAGAAAACACAGTCTGCAGAGGGCATGGATGCTACTGCGGAGCTCACGCTGCAAGGTGACACATCGTTAATGTGTTTGAATAGTTTTATTTCTAATATTCATTTTTATGTCTCCTTTTTTTAACAATTCTGTCTGCACTTGTGTTCATCTCCAGGCATGCAGAATGCTGTCCGCAGTGGAATGGGTCTGCTGGGCATGCACCCTACAGCTTCCCTCACCCACCCCCTGCATCAGTCTGGACTGAGTGGGCAGAGGATGCCCGGCCTGCTGCCTTTGGATGTGCGCCCCAACCTGCTCCAACCCGGAGCCGCTGCTCGCTTCCCGCTGCTCATGCAGCAGGCCCATGCCCAGCAAACCCCTGGCCTCCTAGACAGTCCAATCCAAGCTCAATCCCGCCCCAGGGCTCCCTTCCCTCAACTGGACCCCTTCCACCGGCCCCCCAACATAACCAGTGAAAATGTATCCAAAACAGAAGATGAGTCGTCCTCTGGAGCTGACGAGGGCAAAGACCAGGACTACCGCTTTCCTCCGATGGAAAAGCAGAGCACGGGTCTGCTGCGGACCCCTCCCCCAGAGCATAGGGAGCCCCTTGCAGGATCAGGAGCAGGCGTGAGACCACCTTTGCTCCAGACCCCAGGTACTCAGCCAGCCAGATCTAGCCTCGTAGGCCGTCTGCAGGCTCTTGCGGGGTTTACACCCGATAACCGCTGGAACCAAGCCAGAGGGGACTTTGATGAACGTGATGGCATGCGAGGAGGCCCCCAGGCCCCAGGTGGTCCAAAGGGCTTCCCGGAGGCTGGTCCCACACCTGGGCAGAACTTCCCCAGCCGCTTTGATAACCGTCCCGGGACAGCAGCCGGTGTTTCTGTAAATGCTGGAACTGTTGGGGGGCCACAGGCTTGGAACCGTAGTGGTAATGCCACAGCTCCTTTTGAGAGCGAGCTCCATCAAGACCTAGATGAAAGAAGACGCCCATGGGACAGGCAAAGAGATAGAGATGAAAGAGATTTTGACTTCAGGAGGGAGATGAATGGTAACCGCCGCAGCCGCGAGAGGGAGCGCGAGAGAGACAGGGGCCGCGACCGCACCAGAGAACACGAACGCGAGCGAGACCACGACAAAGAGAGGGACCGCGAACGTGGAGGCTCAGCACCCCTTCTCCCTCTGCCCACACCTCTTCTACCAACTCCACCTCTCAATCCTAACCTGACACTGAACCAAGGCAAAGTGCTTGCTCCGCTTAAACTGAACCCTCAGATTCAGCCACGATTCCAGCACCCGCTTTTGCCTCAAGCTCAGGGCAAGCTCCCTCTGCTGGGTCTCAATCAGGCAGCGCCTCAACTTCAGATCAGGTCTCCTCCTCCATCACAGAACCAAGCAGCCGTGCCCGAGCCTGAGTCAGAAATCCCAACTCCATCCGAAGCCCCCCAGGCACAGCCGACACCCTCGACGCTTTCGCACGACCCGTCATCTGACGGCGAAGGTCAGAGCACATTGACTGAGGCGCCTCCAAAGTCAGAGTTGTCGCCACAACCAGAGACTTCTCCACGCACAGATTCACCATCCCAGCCTATAGCCCAGTCCGCCTCTCAGACCACTGCTTCTTCTGACAGTGAAACCCCTAGCCATGCCTCACCACCTGAGGAGGCATCGTCCCAGGACTCATCCATGGCCTTCACAAAAGCTGCCAGCCCCCCCGAAGATATGACTCACTCTGCGGAGGAGCAGAAAAGTGGACAGAAGGATGAGGAGGAGTCACAAGAGAGACCCTCCTCTCCCCAACCGCCGGGGGTCAGTGGACCTGAGCTGGACAATGATCAGAGTGAGCCCGTGGAGGATGCTGCAAGTCTGCCAGTGGTAGACACTGTCACAGACACTGAGGGGACATAATCATCACTCAGTAGGTAAAAGATCATTTTGTAAAGTTGTCTCTTCTTCTCTGTACTCATGTCAGCAAACTACCACCACCACACGGGACATGACGAATACTGACTCACACTGTCTGATAACAAATGATTTTATCCTCACAGAAACCAGTGTACTTAAATAGAAGGCTCATTAGCTGATTTATGGTTAGAGACTTTTGTTTGTATTTTATTTCGTTTTTTCCTTTTTTTTAAGTTGTAATGCCACACCACCCATTTTAATTATGAGCTTGGTGAATTTTATCAAATTGCCTGCCAAAATGTTTCAATTGTATATGGGGAAATTTAGCTTTGACCTTCCTATGGAAGAGAGTAAGAAATCCTGGCTGTTCGACAACGGATTGATATACTTGAAAATGGCAGCTGTTGGCCCAATTTCTGTCTCCTCTTCTTTTAAAATGCTACTGCAAAGTTTTCAATGAATGCTTTTGTGGTGTCTTGCAATGCTTTTTTTTTTTCTTCTTTTTTTTTCTCCTGAGCAGAACAAATGGCCTCCATACATTAAAACCAGAACAGCTGCTTATAATTGGGAAAAAAAATGAGCATTTTAAATAGAAAACATGAAAATGTTGTATCCCCAAAATAAATGTCTGTAATTTGTTTCTAATTATCCAGTGAACACAAACAGAACATTACATGCCCGGGGGAAGAAAAAGAAAAAGGAGCAGAGGGATGTTCTGATGTCGGCTGCATATTGTTTTAGTTTGAAATAAACATGCTTTGTCTGTTTAAAACACTTGCTTTAGGACTGTTTTCTGACCCAGGACCAGTGGAAAATGCTTTACAGACTCGTGTGCGCGCGCACACACACACACACACACACACACACACTGTGTGCTGTCACTTCGGTCGATTTGATGTTCTTGTAACTCAAGTTGCTGCTATACCATCCATCCACAGAGCACTTTGTTGGATGCAACCGTGGGACTTGTAGTTTTTTTTAGTCTGAGGACTTCAGCCTGTATGTTTCCCTAAGCTTTTTGCTGGGTGACTGTTGAGGATGGGATTGTGCCTTTTTGACTGGATTTGTCGTTCACGATGCTATCCAACCCTACTGTGCGATGTACATCAGACTGTGCGTGCAACTCTGCTTTAGACAGCTCACTGAAAAGAACGCTCCCTGCACAGAATTGACTGACCTACAGTTTGAACGGTGGCTGCGCCGTTTGTGCAGCGCCTACCTAGAGAACAATATATCCTCCATCGTTCTGTGCATGCAGGCCTGTAGCCATGTTTTAACCTTCTGTCTTCTCTTGTTCATTTCATACCTGTAGTGGTTTTCTGTTGAGACATACCTCTAGATATCCATAGTCTGCTGTTCTCTCAGACCAAATGTCTACTACAGGAGTTGTGATGTTGAATAAAAGTTCAAGGTGCATCAGACTTTCACTCCTTACTGTCATGAATTCCCATTCAGGCTGACCAGAATCATTATTTTGGGATTAATAGTCCAATTCACGGGATTGGATTGCATCTCAATAGTCTGTAACATTTCAAGCACCACCCACCCGCTCTTCATCAAACAGTAGGAACTCATCTGGGTTTGTGACCACAACCCGTGATGGATCCAACACGTGCATGAAGCTAAGACAAATAGTTTCACGCGTGTTAGTCGTTTAAACCGAGTAAATCATATAAATTGAGTTCTTCACAGCTGTTTTTATCACAAAAATCAGTTTAGAGAACCAAAATACCAAAATAGCATTTTGAGACCCGACAGACTGGACAAAGGCGAATTCCACACTGCAACACAGACATCCAAGCAGACGCCACACGAGACCTGCTGCCCTTTATATTTTTTATAATTTAAAAAAATCCACACAACAAAAGGAAACTAATAAAGAAGGCCGGCTAAAATACCCCCACCCTGCTGGAGAGCTGGCTGCTACATCTGGTCGATGTGCTTACTCAGCACGCACTAGCACCCAGCTCCTCTGTGCGCTCATTTATGGCCTCACTAGGGTCCGAAAAAACACGAGCTGGAGGATTCATTAAAACAATCGCCTCCATCAGCGTGTCTCCTGGCACCATCTCAGCACTTTTTATTGTTATAGAGAAATAGTGGACAAGAGCAGTGCAGTGTGCTGCTTAATGTCTCTACCTCCACTTAAGCTTAGTCTCTTAGTCCAAACAATAGTCAACAAAAATAGATTGCATGTAGAGACCCGAGTTCTGGTAAGAATATCCAGTTGTGTGTCTATGACTCAGTCCATAAAGTTCTAGCTCCCACCTGCCTCCCAACGCCTGGGCAGTCAGCCAGGTCCATCTTCCTGCTGACCTCCCGAAAGAAAGATTAGACAGCCTGGAACTTTCAATCAATGGCTATCTGTACTCAAACAGACACACATGTACACAACAGTTGGCTAGGTCTTCCATTCACAACAATAAAAATAAATATTCGCTGGACCGAGGTCCAGCAGCTTCAGTTACATGTCTATGGCTGGGTAAAGGGCATGCCACAACTGTAGTGTGATTTATTTAGGAACTGCAGCTTTCAAATAGGTCCCGGGTATGATTTAGGATACTAGCCTGTGTGAGGTTTCCTTTCTCTGCACGCTGTCCCACCTGCCTCCGATCTGAGTCTAATGCCGTTTACTGTGCCAACCCATGCGCACTTCATACTGCATATAAATTCTTTGCCTGACCTTTACCTTTTAGCCCAGCATGGGCACCAAAACTGTAATGGCATGGAATAATGGTACATTTCCCTGGCAGAAGCGCTAATGTGTGGTTTTGACTGCAGGTCAGATACACAGAAGTTCCCTGCTGTGAGGAAGTTAATTAGACACAGTGCTAGCTTTTGGCTTGTAAAAGGCTTTTTACTGTGTTGTGGGAGAATCATAAACATTTCCTAGCCTAATAATGGCTAAACTTCAAGCCCTAATTTGTTCTATAAAGAGGATTTCTCAGCAATTACGCGATACACTGGAGGTCCATTTTCACAACCGCTATGGTGCTCCTGCTGCCTTAGTATTATAGCAGTGCCATTACTCCGTCTGGCCATTTGGGGTCAGTGTGGTGCTGCAGCACTTGTCAGTGCGCCGGCCTTACTGTGCTCAGTGCAGACCGGATTCTTTGAGTGTGACGGCTCAAAATCTGCAGTGCTCACCTCTCTTATCTTCTGTTCTTCACCATCTCAACAGCACCGTGGCAAAATATCTCTACATAAATCCCCCTCCTTTGAAACAACAGTAACCTTGATGTAAGGATACGGGCGAAGGAAACCACTGATCCATACGGGACCTTCATTGTGCCAGGTCCTTGAAATGAACTCATTCCATACCTTTTTGGGATCAATACAGACGTGTTGTGATAAATGGAATGAGGTCTTTTAAGTGTGAGACTTGGCTGATTTCTGCAGCTTCCCAGTTGCTGCATTCTTAATTGATTAAAGCTATTGATTAGGCCTCCTAAAGCCTCCAGACTAAAATGAGCCTTTATCTGCCATGGCCAGATACCCAGATATCATATTCACTCACTGTGCAGCCTGTGCCAGATGCAGAGAGCCAGAGCGTCTCTGCTGGTGTGACCACTCGCACAAATTCATGAGCACCAGAGATGGAGTCAGAGCAAGAGACAGAGCCATCTATCTCCCATCCACCTAGTTATGCAGGAGAGGAATCCCCTATCTCGGCTCACAGTCTGCAGCCACAGTAATTACTCAGCTCTGTGGGAGTGTGCATAACTTTTCCTCTGCTTTCAAGAAGCCACTGCCCGCCCGGCTTCCCGTTATCAGGGCCAGCAGACACTCCTAGACTGGGAGGCGTCCAAAGTTCTCCTCACCCAGGAACTTGGGCTCGCTGCAAAAGAGCAAGGTCATGCAGCTGTCCCACTGCGCCACAGGAAGTGTGCGTACAGTTAGAGCAGCACCGGAGCTGGATGTTGGTGAGGAGATTCGCTCAAGGCCACATCAGCAGTGCCTGTACTTGCAGCATACAGGTATAAGCAAAGCTCTTCGGGTTTTAGCTTTCTGTTCTTTTAAGCATGAATTTTAATGTGCAGAGCCACAGGGGAGGTGGGGGTTTGTGTTTTATAGCTTTTAAAGAAGGAAAAGTTGAAAGTACGACGCCAAGGCTGTGATGGAATTCATCATGAGAGAGACAAAACACGGCCTCGGGTGACTGCACGTCAGTACTTTGCAAATTGGATGAACGGTTATGTGTTCGTGCTGTTTACTCGGACACATTTGATGCTGACAGCTCGCGTCGTGATAGAAACGTCTATGCAATTGTACCCATCAGCCTCACCTGGACTGAGACAGCCTGGAAATAAAAGATATTCAGTAAATTCAGATGTATCACATTTAGATAAGGCTGATGATTCCCTCTCACGGAACATTTTGTCTCATTTTTTGATGAGACTTTTTTGTGTCATTCTCTCGAGATGAACAGAAATTTGATGGCAGTCTGTTTTTTCCCCCCAAGACTGCTGAGAGGAGGAGAGAGCGCCTGTTTGCGCCAAGTCAGTGTGTATTTGCATACTGAAGAGGTGTGTGTGATGGGGGGGGGGTTTAACCGCTCGTCACTGAAGACCTTTCTATACTCACATCCTTTGTATGTGTCTGTGTGTGTGCGTGCTGGAGCTGTCAGTGTGACGACTTGGTGCAAACACACCGGGGCAGAGACACAGGCCTCGCCGTTTAGGATGCGAGCAGCTCTTACCTCCATGCACGCTGTCAGCGGTCCTATCTTTCCTGCCCGTACCCTCACTTCAAAACACACAAATATCAGTAAACATACATGATCTGTTTACATGCACCTATCTGCTAAAAGTGGCTGCCTTGAAGCGATTACACGAGCTCTGCTGGTGCTTCTGCTTCTCGTCTTCAGCTGTCTCTGCATTTCTCGAAGGGTGAACGTGGGGTCATCGGGGCAGGGGATGTTAAAGGGCGCCACTGTTGGGAACAGAAGGAGGACTATAGGAAAATGAGAGTTGTCATGGAGGCAATTACAATCCACAAACACCTGATTCCCCCTCTCTGTTTTTATTTTTTTGTCCAACCATGGCTCACAGCAGGCACAGTGTTGTGCTGGGTGATGGGGAGCTTATTAAATCTGCTAACACAGACAACGAATATGCATATATGTGTGCTTGGGGAGTATGCAATAGGGATGAAGCGGAAGATGCTGAGCAAGCAGGGAGCGGGCTGTTTGACAGCGCAGCACATTGTGCCTGAGAATGGGTGGAAACTGGGAGATGTGTATCAGGAAAGACAGGCAGGTACTGGATGCAGCCCCCATCACTCTGACATTAGTGGTGCACACACGAGGGTGAGCCCGTTAAAATGTCGTACGCACTCTTTAACCAAATCCCAGATCGGTTTTCTCATTATGAAGCCGCCTCTCGTTTTTCTGCACTCGTCTGCAGCGACACGAGGTGTGTGACACACACATTCGTGCAGCCTTAACACACTGCAGGCCTTCTGTATTTGTTTTACTCTCATGCGCCGGGTGTTGCCTCCATTCACGGGTCTGTCATCATTTGAGAAAGACGACCTTATAAAAACTGCTTATTAAAGGCTGACTCAGCTTCTTCCTGCAGATGTGACACCTGCTTCTTAAACCGCCAAAACAAGCTTCATTGTTTCCGTTAAGGAGGATAGTGAGTGTGCGTCTACCTGCCCACACATGAATAAACAGTCGCTGTTTGTTCCCCACCCCGGGCCCTTTTAACCCCCACTCTTTTTAACCACCCCTCCTTGCTGTTTCCAAGCAGCAGCTAGCTGGTAATTAGCCCTGAAGGACTCCTCATTGTCTGCCTGTTTGTTTGGTGAGAAGCAGATTCCCTCCTGAGAGTCGGAGGCGTCACTCACAAGTGTGCACAAGAGACGGAGCAGACGGTGTCAAGTATAAAAAAAGAGGAAATTCCAGACTCACCAGAATGAGGCCGGAGCGAGGGGTGATGGTGGTGGTGCGTGGCATGTGATCAAACCTGGTAATGTGTTTCATGGACAGACTGCAGCACTCGTAGATGTTAGAACGTGTAGACCTGATGGAGAGTTTGAAGGCTGAAAGCAGCGCTAGGATCAGTATATTTCAAATTCAACATAAAGTCAAAGCTCCTGAAACAGCTCTGGGATCAGGAATAGCACCTTCTTTGTCTTCTTTCCAAATCCCCCACAGAATACCACACAGTCATAAATCTATTACTTTATAATGTCAAAGTCAAAGGCCTGCTGCAGTTGTACCTTATTATTTATATTCTTTAAAATATCAAATTCTTGTATTTATTCTTGTTTTTTATCAAAGAAAGCCGACTTGTTGTACTTTTGAACATTTTTCCAGGTGTATGAAGTATTCTAGCAATAGACCATTCATGTAGAAATCCCTACCACCTCAGCAGCAAATATCTGAATTAAAAAACAAGGTATCATGGAATATGCTGCAGTCTGATTTCACAATAATAAATACAGCAAATAACATTTTCGTGAAATCGATACAAGCATTTGTGATCAGTTCTTTCGGTTTATTCAGATGTTCATTTTCGTTGTTCCTGTTCACGTACGACAGAAAAAAGAGAAGAAAGTACATCATCTTTTTAATTCTAAGGTTTTGTCCTTGACGACATCATAAAGCACACCTTTACTGCTTCCACGGGAGTTGCGAGGGTGCTGCATCGGTGTGAGCACCTCTGAGCTGTGTGTTAGCTCGGTGCCAAAGGAGGAAAGACATCAGCAATGATCTTAGAGGACCTTCCCATCAATTCTCAAGGCATGTGAAACCATTTCCAAAACAATTTAAAGTTCATCATTCCACAGTGAGAAAGATTATTCACAAGTGTAAACATTCAAAAAGCTGGACAAATGCATCCCAAGAGCTCCATTTCAGACTTTACAGGCCTCAGATAGCATGTTAAAGGTTCAAGTTAATAATATGATTAAGAAAGGACTGAACATGTTTGGCTTGTTTATAAGGGCTCAATAAAGAACACGGCAGCATGGCTTAGGTTTGCAAAATTACATCTTAAGAAACCAAAAGACCTCTGGAGCAATGTCCTTTGGACAGACGAGAGCGAAGTGGAGACGCTCGTCCATGAAGCACAAAACCAAACTCAGCACATCAGCACAAACACCTCAGACCGGCTGTCAGCACGGTGGTGGAGGGCTGATGATCTGGGCACCCAGCAGTTTGTTGGGTTGACCACAAACTCCTCTGGATACCAAAGTACTCCAGAGTCAAATTTGAAGAAATCCGTCTGACAGCTAAAGCCTGGTGGACACCGGCTCGTGGAAAGAGAACCATGACTTCAAGTTATTGCAGCTGAGAGAGATTCTGCAGGCTACAGAATCACAGGGTGGACTTTTCACTCGTTTTCTTCCTGAATAATGACACGCGGCCCACGTCACCTCTACTTGCAGCCCGGATGTTGATATGAAGAACTAGTTTAAAAAATTATTATTCGAAAAACGATTTAATTAGAAGGCAATATGACCAGCGTGTTACAGACATGGCCCTTTAAGACTGTAGCCCCATGGGCGGTGTAGTCCTCGCTGCAGGGAGAACGTGCGCCCCTCCGTGTGTGAGCGCGAGGAGTTGCTACCGAGCAGAAACGGGAGCTGGAAGCATGTAAATATAATAATAACCACTGCAGCCAAACAGAGAGCCTGACAGCCCAGTTGGAAGTAAGCTATTAAGACTCGACTGTACACTGTGTTCGTGTTTTCCTCCAAAACAATAAAGTTCTGCTGGAGCAGCCTTTCAACGCTTCTTTCTGTCTCTCGCTAGCAAAGTTGACCCAGACAGTAAAGCGAGTTCCCGGCTACGAGCCCGACACGGAACCCAAAGTATTAGCCGGAGGTCTCCTTACCGCGGAGCCGCGGACCTGTCCGAGGTAACAGAGTGCAAACATGTTGAAGGCTGTGTTAGTTCAGTGAGAGATTTATTTGGAAAGAAAACAATTTTCACTTGACTCAAAAACTAATGTGTACGCTTATGTATGGAAGCCCGTTTCCGCCACTAAATAAAAACAAAAAAGCTAGTATCCATAACTCGAAATTTCGAGAAATATAACTCAAAATTTCGAGTTAGCTCTGCCAATCAAAAATATACGTGAATGAGATCGCTTTCTTGTTACTCGGAAGCATATGGCGCAGAGGAACGCGCACTCAAAAACGGATCCCAACAAATTGGCGCTTTCGCGAGTACGTTTGCTGATAGTAACACCATGTGATTCAGCTAATAACACAGGGATTTCATCATTTGTGAAGCCAGGCTGAAAACACTCAGCAATCTGTGCATTCACGACTGGATGGTCGCTTAGCTGTAGCATTTGTAGCTGAGGGCTTCAGCGTCCGGGTAACGAGGAAATGACGTCATTCACGTAGATTACTGATTGGCAGCGCTAACTCGAAAATTCGAGTTACTTTTCTCAAAATTTTGAGTTAATAAATCGAAATTTCGAGTTAATATGTCGAAATTTTGAGAAAATAACTCGAAAGTTTGAGTTATGGATCCTTTTTTTTAGTGGCGGAAACGGGCTTCCATACTTATGCCTGCATATTTGTTAAATACAAACAAAATTATAGCAAAAGTGCTGCCACGTGTCTGGCCAGAAAGAGCTGTTTATTTGGTAGTTCAATGAAAGGCTTCAGGTAGTCAAGAGTGAGGAAAAAATTGCGTTCATGTTTGCAGTTTTTTCTTGTTAAACATTATTTGAAATTAAATAGAACAAAGAAAACACTACATTTTAGGAAATATTAGTGGGTGTTTTCTTGTTTGTTTTCTTGTACTACTTGAACACTAAAGTGGCCCTCCAGTGAGATGACGGTGCCAGAAGGGGCCCCAGGCTCATTTGAGTTTGAGACCCCGGGTGTAAGATGTCACGTGTTGTTGTTTATGGGATCATATTAGAAGCTAGAATCTCCTGATGTGTTAAACCTTTGCACGTCTTTTGAAAAACTAAAAAAGTTCAGATATGGGACACTTTGCGTTACCAAGAGAATTCTTCTCAGTTTAGCTCCTTAGAAGCAAATGGTTTTTTTTGTGGGTTTTTAAAAAAAAAAAGTTTTATTTTTTATGGATTGTTCATACTTCTCAGTTAAACCCAAGATCAAAATGTGCGTGTGTTTCCTCAGGGTGTGGTGCTATTCATCCATCTACATTGGTCTGGTGAGAATTACCCAGGTTTGGAGCTACTGTGTTGCTCAAAGTGCAAAAAATGCATTTGAAACACTATCTGGTTATGTCTCTCTCTACAACTCATGTGGTCATCTGTTTCTATGCAACTCACTCCCCTCCAAAGGTTGGGGTGTGGCCAGCTAACATGAGGGCGGTCACCATCAGTGCTGACGTTCTGTCTCGTTGTCCCACCACAAGCGTCTCATCACAGATAAATGCATGCTCCCTTTGGCACGGTGGTGCAGTTGGCAGGTGTAGTTTCATAAGGAGAAGAAACGGCTCACAACAAGATTTCTGGAAACAGATGTTGTTACTTTCTTTATTCCGATATATTTTTTCATAGGCATAGTGCCACTTAGTTCCATTATATTGAAGAGGAGTCAGACATGTTTACGCCACATGTCTCTGAAACCTTTTAGATGGATAAGCAGCAACTACAGAGGAAAAACATGGAAATCAGAGTTTGCCGTCAATCATTCCTTTGTTTTTTGTTAATATGCATAAAAAAATACTGAAGAGGAAATTCTCCAAACACAGAAAAGTAGATCCTGAGTCCTGAGTGGTTAACCCCGTGTTCAGCGCCTCAAACCTCCCTCCTGCCGTTTGTCCAATCTGCCGAGTCTGTGGGCGTGTGTGCGGCTCTGTCGATATCGCCCGTGACGGTTCCTATGCCGCCCCGCTGATGGGGATTAAACATTCATCATCATGTTTATTAATGACCAGCAGGCATCAGGGGTCTCCAGGCTGTCACACACATGCTGCAGACAAGCTAAAGCTCACGATTTCTGGCACTTTCTCTCAAGAACTTGCACACAGAATAATAAACGCACAGCTACCTGCAAAGGTGGCTTAAATATTCATGAACCCCTCCCTTTGTTGTTGCTTGTTTTCAAGCGTTTTTGATGGTTAGAAGTTCTCGTGTGTGCAGCTATCGATCCACTGGCCTGTTAAAGAGTTAAAGAACAGATTTTGTGTCTCTCTGGAGCGCCAGCCTCTCCCATGGGTGGAGGGATGGACTGAGAACATCTGCGATGGCCGACTCCTGCAGAGACACACCAGTGTGTGTGTGCAGGGTTGAGTGGTCTGTTACCTATAGAAGCTTTAGAGGAAGCGCACTCCCAGTTTATTTCTTCCTTTCTCTCTCAAATAGACATGTAGTCATTTCTAAGCAGGCGGCTGCGCAGGCAGAAACCAAGCTTCCATTTTTATTCAATAAAAGCTGTGTGGCTGAAAATCCTTTGAGTTTATTTGCATCTCTGCATTTTAACCATTTTCATCATTTCATCTTCAACTCGGAGACTCGGAGATGTGCCCTCCTCTTAGGTGATACTCATAAAAACGACATACTTTGCACCACAGCCTCTGCAAATGAAATGATAAATGAGTGATGAGCAGAAGCGCACTGATGCTGCACTGCTCACAGCCTGCCGTCTCATTCTGTGTGGTTGAGCGTCTCCCTCCATACCTTCATTATTATTGTGCTCTGCTGCCTCCCCTTATCCTTTTTTTTACTCCTTTGGCCAGTCGTGTCTCATTTTACTTCTCTGCAGCTCCATCTTTGTGCTCCACTCTCCATTCTCCCCAGTGAAGCGTGTCACAGTCTGGTCAGATTTCTTGGTAACGGAGCCTCTCAGAGGGAGATGCTACCCAGATCATAAAACTCGCTTAAAATATAGTTTGTAAAGCTGTGCATTGTGTGAGTGAGGCTGAAGAGCAAACTAAGGAAACTGATCTCAAACAAAGTCAGGCTTTTAGTGGAAAAAATAGCAGTTGGCTGGTTTTTGGACCGGTTTAAATATAAACACAGATTTTAAAATGATTTCATATTCTTAGTAGATCTGAACTGGAAAAACAGAACAGGTAGAAGGCTGGCTTTTAGAAAGAAAATGCTGGCATTAACCAAATATTTGTAGAAACAACAACAAAAACTGATATATACACACTCTGGCCACTTCATTAGGGACACCTTTCTAGTACACGCACAAACGATTCCTGAGAATTTGTTGGTTACGTCCAAGATGTGAATCTCCCGTTCCACCACATCCAAAGGGGCTCCGCTGGATTGAGATCTGGTTACTGTGGAGGCCGTTTGAGGACTCGGTGTCATTTTCAAGAAACCAGTTTGAGATTATTTGAGTTTTGTGACGTTATCTTGCTGGATATCTGGTGTGTGTCCTTTTATGACCATACATATGAAGGGATGGACATGGCAAACTTACATACATGCTTCCCTTAGCTAGTATTACTAGAGAACACTGCATACATTTTCATTATTATGCAGATGATATCCATCTTTATTTATCCATGAAGCCAGATGATACAATAAAGAGATTTCCTGCTTCTAAATTCAGATCAAACTGAGGTTGTTGTTCTCGGCTCTAAAACCCTCAGAAATACACAATCCAACCAGATGACATTACCTTTCCCTCCAAAAACTCTGCGGCGGGCCTTGGAGTCGTTTTTTGACCGCCTCTCAGAATGATGCTGAAAAACTACTTTGCGCATTTATCACTTTTCTCCCATATTAATGTCTCTTTATTGGCTCACTGTTAAATTCAGGTTCACATTTAAAATCCTTCTCCTCACAAGGCCAAGGTCTGTAATAATAACAATCAAGCCTCATCTTATCTTGAAGACCTCGTACCACATGACCTCATGTTTGTCTTTTTCAGACTGTCCTCTGTAAACAGAGATGGTTGTTTAGGAAAATCCCAGTAGATCAGCAGTTTGTAAAATACTCAGACCGTCCGTCTGCGCCACGTGCATTCATTCAGTCTGAACTTCAGCAGGCTGATGTAACCATGTCTACATGCCTAAAGTCAATGAGTTTCTGCTACGTGATTGGCTGATTAGATGTGTAGAAATATCAATGCTATAAAAAAGTAATATCACAATTAATACTCAAAGGCTGTCCTTTAATTTTATAATAACTGCTGTATTTGCTTTCAAAACATTGTAGTTTACTGTGTTATCTTGACTGAAGGGGTTTAATGAATATTAAGCATTAAGAAAAAGTTAAATATATGAAAGCTACCTTTCAGGCTATAGCTCTAACCTCCACCAAACAGAGGAAGGCAACACTTAAAGCAAAGAAGGCACATGAATCCCTGCTTGATCGCTCTCTTGATTGCTGGAGCGTTTTAAAGACGACCGTGGCATTACAAAAACCTTACATAGTCAATATAAAGTAAAAATGTTTCCATTTGCTTTGCTTTTTCTGACTAATTTGCATTTAGTTACTATGCTATACCCTGACTACGTGAATACATGTGAAGATGTGCATCAGATTTTTAGATTTTGATTCGTCTGTGGGAGTTTACAGGCTTTTGAGTCGAAACAATAAAACCTTTTCTATGTTAAAATGTCTGATTCTTTAATCTAAATGGGGTTTCTATTCCATTTCCAATGTTTCAGCACAGCATATGTAAAAAAACAAAATAAAAATCAGACAATAGACAAAACAGGAAGTGTCTGTGCAGCATAATGCAGTCCGGCACAACATCCGATGAGGCTTTTATGCAGCTTGAGTCACAAAGATAACTCATGAAAAGAATTTAAACTCAGCAGAAAACTGAACGTGGAAACGAAGACGAGAACAGGAACAAACGCGTCAGTGGGAGTCGGCAGAGGAGGGTCACCATGTTTGACAGGGTAACAGAGGGATCTGTTTCTAATGAGTAAACAGACAGCGTACACTACTGCCAACCCACACACACACACACACTCTGTGTTGTTGTGTGGGAGAAAATGAGAAACGTGAAACTTGCACTCGTCTCAAAGAGTTTCTCTGTTAGGAAGAATAAGTGTCAGTGAGGTCTGGCTGTTGGTTTGGGGGGTGGCAAAACCCTAACTGCACAGAGAAAAGAGGGGAACTGGGTATCACATGTACCGTGTAAAGGTTTCCTATCCTTATGAAGTCATATTGAGCAAGTAAGGCTGGCCAAAATAACAGAAACATTACTTATGGGAGGACTTTAGTTTCCATCATCATAATTAAAACAGTCAGAAACATCAGCAAAGTGACCTCTGAGCCAGTTAGTGTTGCATGTGTGGGCGAGCTGTGTCGTGGTTTATACTTTATCAGATATGGATTCATAAATTTTCTGCCCAGCTGATACAGTATAGCTGATGTAAGCACAGTTTATATATAGCCACGCCTCGATACTTTCATTACACGTGTTTGTAGGCAGGATCGGAGTACACAGTCACAAAACGACTCAACTCTCCCAAAACCCGATTGCTGAAATGACCCTGTCACTAATGAGTACTTGCAACAAGCTAACTTGTTAAGTAGTAGTTTACCAGCTGCACTGCCATAGATCCACGTGCTTCATAATGATCTTATTTTTGATTAGTGGAGAACAAAAGCAAACCAAACTCTAGCAAAGAGAAGCTGGTTTTAATAGATTTCTAATGACGCTGCTGGACCAACGTGCAAAGAACCTTGGGAGAAGTTGAGCCCACATAAATCTGCCTTGCTTCTTCTCTCCCACGTTTCACACTGGTCCGAGTATATGAACCTAATTACACTTGAACTTAATAGTTGACAAAGCAGTAGCTTTTGTCTTTCAAGGCCTCGTTGAGTTATGGGGCCACAAAGAAGTCTGTTCACATGCAAGTATAATCCCAACCTTAGTGTTGCATGTGGGCAACTTCGCTAAGATGATAATGCTCTCATAAACGCACCTAAAAATGATTTAAATAACTAAATATGACTGAAAACAAGAATTAAACCAAATGGTTCCCATGACCTCGTGATTCAACAGCACTAAACCTGTCTGGGGTGTCCTGCGTATTCCCTAAGACCTGGAGCGTTTCCCTCCTGCAGATATCCGCTTCATTATCCACTTAGATGTGCTTTAGTATTTTTAACAGCACACAAGAACAAGCGGAGCCAGCTAGAAGCGTTTCTGTGGAGCATGGAGGATTTTCTCGTGCACGTCATACACACACTGTGCTCAAATCAAACATGTGAGTGTGCACACGCAACACAGCACACAGGAGAACTAATCTGATTTCACAGCCCAAATGAAAAGTGATGCACACATACACACATCCATTAGCTATTATTAGGTAAATAGGCTAATAGGTAAACACACAGAGAGCTGCTATGGAGACCACAAATGTCAGGGGGACAGCAAGAAGCGCTTGATTGTAGTGTTGAGTTCTGGGCGTGCTCACTTAGGGCAAACACCAACAGGCAGAGATGTGACTCCTTTATTGGAAGTCACACCTGGAGGCGAAAACTGCCTGCTAGTCATTTTTATCAGGTTTATTTAGCCAAATGTCAGGAAGTTAATCGATCAGATAACGACTGGCTTCTCGGTTTGTTCGCAGCTGCTAAACAAAGTGTAGAGCATGGCACTGCACGCAAACACTCTGCACCTGAACACGCTGTAGAAATGTAGTGACAAAATCACACCAGCCCCTCCTTCTCCACTGTAGCTCTGGCTGTCAGTTGTGGGTTATTTAATCTGTGTGAGTGGTTCGCCTGACATTGGAAAATGATTTAAAATAGATTTATGTCATAAGATCACCTACCAAACTATTACTGCTCGTCTCTACAGTCCTTCGACGCTCCTATGACCCTAATATTAACAGCCCACGGATGAACTTTAGGTAGCTCGACGTCATTACATAATTAGCACTCACCTTTGAGAATTTCGCCTCCTTCTTCTCCCAAATGGCTCACATAACTGACCTGACATTCACATCCACAATGCTTTACAAGCTGGACACGGCCAGGTCTGCACACCGCAGCACTTGGGGAGACCTCCAGCTACAAAACAGAAACGTCCTGAGTGCTTTTTTGTTCACGAAGCTCCTGCAAGTCAGAACAGTGGTTGGCCTCACTATAAATAAACATTTCCACCTGGAAAGACTAAGAGAATAATGCTGTAAGACGTTCTAGAATGATCTTTATTATCCCGGTCTCACAGACAAACTGTACCATCTTCAGTGTAAGATTAATACTGTGATTACATTCCCCAGTTTGATGGTGCTGATGACGCATCCCGACGGGATGAATGCTAAGAATCTTTGATGATGATAGTGTATAAAAGTGAAGGTCAACCTGATGAAACTTTTTAATGACAACTCAGGAGACAAAAGCTGCAGATCCTAAATATATGGAAAAATGATCCTCAGGAAACACTTTGCTCATTTTGGATCACAGTGAATACAAAACTGATTCCATTTTGGACAATTAAAAGTCCGAGTGGAGGATTATCCTGGGTGTATTTGAAGTCCTTAGCATACTGTACATGGCATAAAAGATGGATGAAGCTACCATGACTTCAGCCATTGGTCCTGTTTCCTGTAGTCCAGATAAACATTTTCCACATTTCCACCTTCACCACCTGTTTGGCCGTGAAACCGCACATTCATTGGCTAATGACTTGTCACTTACAGTTCATTCACCACTGAATAAATAATCCTGCTTTGTGAAACGCAGAACGAACCTGCAACCACACAAACTCACTTAGATAAAGAAGTCTTCTCTGGCACTGGATAAAAGTTACTCCATTAAAAGTTATCGATAAAGGTAACTAGTTAGCTACAAATGCTAACCATTGCAGCAGAATAAATCCAGGCCTCGAACTTGTCTGTACACATCAGTTTAAGGTAGAGAATCCAAAGTGTGACTTATTCGTTGGAGGGATCGGCAAAAGCAAAGCAGTCTTTTCTTCTTTTAGTGAACTTTATCTTCACAGATTTCTCCTCTGAACTAACTGAAGTTTATCCCTGAATGCTCATAAGCTGAAAACAAAGACGCAAACATGCTAACGTAATCTTACAATCACAAAGGATGATCTAAATGTCTCCCTCCACAAGGCCTGTAAACAAACCAGTCCAAGTGGTTTGGAGGAAGGTATCAGCTTTCCAGGTCCTGCTTTGTCTAATAACGACATGTCAGACAGACCCCTCCCCCCAGCTGCCCTTCCCTTAGCTTTGGTGCCCTCTGTTACAGTGCATCGCACTAGTAGCTGATAATATTGTGGTAAAGACCCAGAGCACTGTATCTGTTTCCAATTAAGAGGTGAAATGAGCAGGTTTTTAACAAGGTGACTGTAACAGCGCTCAGCTTCCCTTCACATGGGTGTGAAAGTATTTGTCAGCAGGGAGTGAGGAGGTTATGGGTGTGGGAACCTTACCTTAGTGGGCACGGCAGAGGGACAGTCACAGTCCTAATGATGCAACAACAGTTTGGTTCTCATGCTTTAGACATTGCAGCAGACATCCTCAAAACACACTTAATTACTTCATTTATTAGCAAAAGACTAATTTTTTGGGTGAGATTTGCTGCGATAAAGATCCATCCTGAGACTTTCTGCTCGATGTTGTTTGCGTCTTGCTTGTTTTCAGCTCGTCTCGTTGCTCTTATTGAGTTTGAGCGAGCTGAATTTAGCCCAATACAAATCACATTACACTTCAGAGTGAATGATTGCATTTAGCTCATTGGAATCAGCCTTTACTGTTTTTTACTGAATGAAGCTTTTGATTTTTAGGCATGTTTGTTGGCTTGTAATGTGTTCGATCACTTGACTCGGTGTAAGCTTGCAATAACTCAATCAAACGTCCCTGCGTTTGCTGTGGATTCCCCTCCACTGGCCTGCAGGGCTGTGGCTGCAGGAGTGAAGAGGTTTAAAGCAGCTTAAACTGTCACGCCAGCCCAGAGCTACAGACTGTTTCCTTATTCTCTTTCACTGAGTCTATAAAAGATGAGGCTTGTCCAGTCTTGATCTGTCTTTCATAAAGTAATCTCTCCAAAGTCCCTCAATCATTTATATTCTTTGCTCTCTCGTGTGGGATATATATTCAGCCACTAACATGCTCTTAACTTTGTCAGTGTCGAGTCTGCCCCACATTCAGACAAAGAAAAGGACAGCCGTGTGTACTTTGGTGCATTTTTAGACCAGGGCCTGATGTCACGCTAACCGCGCGCCGGGTTGTCCTCCGTCAGTCATGCCCTCCATGAGCTTAGACATGGTACGGTGCCACCATGCACCAACTTTGACGTAGCTTGGACGACAAACATGTTTTTGTTTCAGGTCTGACGGTTTTCTTCCGGAGCTGCTGACTGTAAAAGCAAGCAAGAGCTGAATGTTTTGGAGCTGGTGCAGGTGGGCATGGTTACCTGAGAGGAAGTGGTAAACAGGAAAAAAGTCAGTTTAGATCAAACACAGAGGCTTAAAGGGATAAAGAAGATGTTGTATTTCACAAAGTTCTCCTTGTGCAGCACTGCAGCCTCGACGGTCAAACTATGGAGCAGCTTTAAGATGCTCATCAGGTCTGAGACAGGGCCACACATCCCATTATACCACACGCTGGATAAACTGTACATACAGTATGTTACATCAACAAGTAGTCTGACGAGGGGTTTGTGCACGTTTTACTATGACATGGCCACAACAAATCACTTCCTGTTCTACAGTTTTAAAACTCCCGATTGGCTGATTCCTTTCTTAGTGTTTTATTTTTGTTGCTGCTCATCTGATGCCATTGTGGGTATTTACCATAACTAGTCATGTGAGCTGTGATGTGCACGAATAACATCAGTTGTGAAATAGTGTCAGGAGGTTTGTTATCTTCATGCTATAATAAGCTGTAAGCTTTTGAAGCAGTTTATGGGCTTTTAAAATGACATAATGTCTTATATGTTTTCAACCTGTAGCTTTGTATTGTGTTGTTTTTTACATCGTATCATAACCAATCACAGCCGCGTGATTCTCTCATGCATTTCGTATGTGTGCAGAATCCGTAATCATTTCAATGATGACTGATGGATAACATAATGCTGTCTTAATAATCCCTGCTTCAAAGCTCTGGGAGTTGTGGATATCCTTTAACAACTTCGCTGCACTTACCTTGAAATGATTCATTTTGCAGATGGTAATGAGTGCAAGTATAGATGGATGGAGGCAGGCAATCAACCACAGAAAGAAAACTATGCTTTCCCTGAGGCAGTTTTAGGGAAGTTATATGTGATGACATTCTGCAAACTAACATGGATTACATCCTTTTTTTAAAAACTGGGTTAACAAGAACCATTTTATTACTTTTTGTTGTTATGCTGGCTTCAGGTGCCGACACTTAGCTCTATACTTATCTTACAGTCCCATCCTGTTTATCACACGGCCGTCTCAATCTTTTCTCACAAGCAGGCAAACAAAAGAGTAATTCAGCTCATCAGTCTGTGGGAGCCTCGTGACAGTTTCTTCACCTACAACTCAAGTGATGAGCAAACACATCCAGCTCCCCTCACTGCTCGGTAATGAACGATCGTGCTGCAGACAGGCAGTCAGACAAACACATGATGCAACGTGTGGAGGACACGTCTGTCAAATATGTCGTTTCCCACACCGCTGAATCCATGCAGCTTTATATATCGTCTGATATCAGACAAAAAACAGTATATTCATCATCTTCAACTCTGACACATATCTTGCACGTCCACAGTTTAAAAAGCATTTTAAATGATGCTCGACTCAAAAAAAAAATAGAATTACACTAAAAGAACTGATAATGTAAGTGCATGTAAATCAGGGGCTTTAAGTGCTGTGTCTGTCCTTTAAAGACCCTAATAACATTGCTGCAAAAGGGTGGCCGCTGTGACACACTTTGCTCGTCTAAGCCATTGATTTCTCATTAGTTAGGCCCTCAGGAGTGTACAAGCTATCACTTGGATCAGCCCTGTTGTATTCAATTAAAAGCCTTTCCAACACACCCTGGATTTTTTCTACCTTATCTTTAAGTGCATATTTTTTCTGTTGCGTGAGCTGCTGCCATGGCCTCTTTCATTTTGGCTGCCATATTTAGAAACAAGTAAGGAGTTGTTTCAGGGTGTGGCAGTGGTGGCTCTGATTATAGCCCTCCCTTTGTCTCACATGCACCTTATGACATCTCCTTCTTTGTGTTCATGAATGCTGCGCACACAAAAACCGTGTTCCCAGCACCTTCTGCCTAACCCTGCCAGCCTTTCAGACAGCTCTATGAGAAAAATGTCTTCCAGCCACAGCAAACCATTAGGGCTCACATCTCAAATCAGTTTGGTAATTACACATGGACGCTGAACAGGCCAGCTCTCACATCTCAGCACCTCATATAGTGGTAATAATGGCCAGATCACAGCCTACAAAAGGCAGCTATGAGAAGGGTGTGAGCATCGCTTATCGGGGAATCTGCAGCCCCCTCCCTGCGTCTCACGTACAGTAACACACACTCACATAGAAATGCACAAACTGTGACGATCCTATTAGAGAAGCCACAATGGCAGAACAAAGCGATGACAGTCGGAATAGCTGGACCGGGGGTGTTGAGAAGCCTCATTTAAGAGGCGAGGAAGGAGGACTGAGGTGTGGATGTGTGTCACTATGTGTGTTGTGGAAGCCCACATTTCTGGCTGAGCTCAATGCTTTTTGCTCCCCGTTGTGTTTTAAAGCAATAAACTGACAATACCAATATTTCATTTCACCGGCCCTGTCCTCACTCCTCAGTGTGTTCGCAGGAGTGGCAAAGTCAGGACCGTCGTCTTGTGCCAGGCCGACAGACAAACACAGAGGGGATGATGGGCGGCAGGATGACCGTCAGAGCCAATTACGTTTAATGAGATGTGGAGTGACCAGAGCTCCCGAACGCTGCCAGATGACACAGGGAGCTTCCGAATGTATCCAGGATTCTGCCCTGGAAACATTGTGTGCTGGGATTGGTAGCATGTCACTGGAAAGACTGATAATGGTTGCCCAGTTGATTATTGCACTACGTTTGATTACCAATAAAAAGATGTGAATCAGTTCAAAGGCAACAAGTTCCATTTGTAATGATTCACATTCCCTAACAACCTAATTTGTCTCTGAAATCCTTTGACACTCCTGCAGATGCATATTAAGATATGTTGATTTCACAACAACATGCTTGGTTAACTGGAGCTAAAATCCCCAAGGCTATGTACATCCAACCAAGGGGGATGAAAGGCTGCTTGTTGTGATGACAGATCCTGATCAGACTGTGATGAAAGGAGTAGAAATACTGTATCTGCTTCTACGACAGGCACCGTGGCCACAGCTGTAAACTGGCTGATATGGAGACTGGACAGGGCGGGCTGGGCTGGCACACCTGGCCAAAGAGCCACGTTATGAAACTCAAGCTTTGTGCCAGTTGCGAGGGAGTTTTAAGGAAGCAAGGCCATGACGGTCATGTTATCAGTAATCTGAGACATCTCGACAAAGAAGGGTAGAAAGAAAATGGAACAAAGGACTTAAATTTAGTCCAAGAGAAACAGCGACAGTGGCAGCTACCCCATGATTTCTGAGTTCCTGAGGAAAACAAACCTGTTCCCTATCACACTGCCTATCAGTTCATCAGACCACGTGACAGTCAGGGTTGTCACTGTTATGTAAAAGATGCCTTGTTCACCTTTTCCAAGGCAGGACATGCTTCAGGTGAAGGACTGTCATGGAGAAAAGGCTTTAAACTCAACTACTTGCCCCAAGAAAGTTTAGTTAATGCTGGATTTAAATCTTTGCAGAATGATTGAAGAGTTCAGAGGAAAGAGTGAAATGCTCACGCCTGTTCTGACTGTGGTCATAAATGCAGATGGAAACAAATAGTTTGGTGTCAGTGACCCAATCAGTGCGATTCATATCAGGATGATTCTCACACCGATTGCCTCCCATACCTCATCTTATATAATAACTAACTAACAATCCATAAGTTAACTTTAAAATATAGTCTACACATTTAATGGCTATTTACATTAAATCTATAATTGCATATGTTTAACTGCAGTATCATTTTCTTCACCTGAAGCCCCGACGAGCCCTCGGCCCCCCTTACATCAGCGTTATTCTCAGCTTTCTATGTGTAATTAAATACTGCATTAGGCAAGAAGATGCTTATAAACACACAGTATAAAATATGATCATTTTCACAGATTATATCCATAACATCCCCAAACTCATTTTAATCTTGGTGCTGACGATGTTTCCTTCTTTTTTAAAGTCTTTTGATTGATTGATTTTTTATCTGTGTGGTCCTTTACAGTTCTTTTACTTTCACCAACTTTCCATCAAAAGGTTTTAGCAGTCACTTCAAATCAAGCTTAGGCTTTAACCCAGGACACCCAAGAAGTTTTTTTAATTGAAGTTTATTTAACAATCAGAGAACAGCCAGATTAAATAAAGTTCAGCGTCTTTTTCTCTTTTCAGTCTGACTACAGGAAGCTGTCTTCACAGGCTGAGCTGTGCTCATGAATAAAGTGTAAAATCTGTCCTTTTGAATAAAGGGAAAGGAACACTTTTCTGATAGTTTTGAGGACCCTAAAGTCCTTCTTCGTGACCCCTAAAAAGTCCACGAACCACAGTTTGAAACACCTTGGTTCGTCACACGGTTAGATTTCCTTCCACGGTACTCCATGTTGTAGTCTATTCAAGGCTCTCGGCCATCCCCCCTCTCCATGTCCGTGGGAAGGAGGAGTTTAACCCCACATTGCGAGGAGTCCGCAGTCTCTTGGCGCTCCGACCCGGGATCGTTTGGCGTGGACACGGAGGGATCGTGGAATTAGCTCCGAGAAACGCAGACTTTTTAATGCAGCGCTGGTATATTAAGAGTTTTCAGAGAGGAGGACGCAGGAGTGCTGCGGGGAATGTGTTTCACGGGTGGAAGCATTAGCCGGTAAGTTGTAGACGAACTTATTCCCAGTCACGCTGTTTTAATAGACTGCCGTTCAGCTTAAACGCGTCTCCCACTCTGCGCGAAAAAGTTTAACAATTTAACAAAGAATTTCCAGTAAGTCGACCAGTGACTGAGGCAGCGATGTAATCCAACTGCAGCACGTCCGATTATCCAGTGATTTTAAATTTGAATGATTTCATTGAGAAATCTGTTTTATTCTGAGGCTTTCTGCCGTCGTGTAATTATTCATGTTGACAACGGTCTCCCCTTTCTTCCGTCTGTGGATCTGTCACGCATTAAAGCCTTCACTGTGGATGTTGTTGGACTTTCTTACCTGAAAAGCAGTAATCGTTATGTTTTATTGTGCGCTGTGAAGCAGAATTTGGGGTGATAAATAGGAGCACCATAAACACAAACTGTGCCTGGACACGATCTAAAAGTCCCACTAAAGGTATCTGCGTGGCTGTTTCATGTTGTAGCTCACAGCAGTGTCACAGGCTGCTTATAGCTTTTGAACTTCTGTCTCATTTATAGGCTGGGAGATGTGGGACACACAGGATGTATACTGATGTGAATTACCTGCCACTTGCATTGTTGCTTGGGTTTGTGCTGGGGTGGAAGGGCTCTAGCCACATACAGAGGCAACAAAAGGGCCCCGGGACCCCCGGAGTGAAGGGTCAGCCCAGAGCAAACAGAGTTTTGGATTAAAGGAGGAAGAGCCCGGCATGCCTTTTGGGATGGTCATGGAAACATCCACAGGAAGGTGTCAGTCTTACTGTCCTCCTACCTTTAAATGCCACAGATGAGAGTGAAACAGTGGCTAATGTTTGACTCGAACAGCCGCCCGGGTCACTCATTTATCTGTCTGATGGCTTTGGCTGGAGTCTGTCCAGTGTTTTGCAGCAAGACAGATTGGATATGTGCTTGCACTGTAAATGTAAATCATTTACTCCGGTCATTTTTATCCAGGAATTATGCTGAGCCCAACATGCCCAGGAGGAAAAACTTCAGCAAATGCTTTGTGTTTATTTTTCTGCAGGGGGAACATGCTGCGTGCTCGGTTTATATTTCATCAGGCCTATCAGCCCCCCTGCCTCTTTAATGGACTATCCAGAAATAGTTATTTACTTACATAATTGCGTTGATCTCATGTGTGTTCCCTGTTCTTTTTGTGCGAGATCAGTAAGAATAGCGCCGGGTTAGAAGCACCGTGTGCATATTTTGGCTTCTGTGGTTCACATTTTTGCGGCACAGAAGTCCTCCGCCACAAGGAACATATTGTTTTTACTATTCTCTTTTTCCCTGGATTGGAACGGGGTCTTGAACCAGAGCAAAGTTGACCGAGTGTGGCCCTTAATTTCCTTTTAGTGGAAAACATGTGATAGTTTAGCTGGTTCGTTCTGTCCTTCTGTGGCACGAGGGGCGAGTTTCATCTGGCAGGGCCGTCAAAGTTGTTTACAAGTGATAAAAGGGTGAGGCCACGCTGGCTTCTCTTTGGGTGGCACACAGTCACAGGCTCAGAAACAGCATGACTCTGTGACATAATTACCACTGGAACTGCAGTCAGTACATCAACAGCTGATGCACTTTGTCAAGTAACTTTAAGAACAGCCGTCTAACTGTCGACTGCTCTCGTCTTTGCTTCTTTTTGATGCTCCGTGTGAAAAGCAGCCTTGGTCAGGCACAAAAACTTGGAAGTGTTTTCCCCTGACTGCGCCTGTCATCATTAATTCTCAAAGTGTTCACACACTGGCCGAGAAACGCCAATGTTTCATGTCTTCTCCTCTGCACATTTTTCTCCATATAAGGTGCACGGGTAACATCTGTGCTCATTGTCACACGGGGATGAGGGCCTTTCACTGTCTCTAGGTAGAGAGGCCCTGCAGAGGGAAACCACAAGGACTCCACACGAAGGAGACAAAAGGATTTGAAAGGATCACATTTAAATGAGCAAAAACTTGATTTCTTTTCGGTTTCTCGGCACGTTCGCTTTCTTGATTCCAGTGAAATGCCATTTTGAGGCTTCTGTTCGGGCTGCACAGTCGGGCGAGCATAATGGTGGCCTGCGTGCTTCTATTTCTTGCTGCTGTGGTTGAATTTATATTTGGCTTTCAGAGTGTTTGCTGGTAGCCCGTTGCCAGCAGTGTCTGGAGTGGTTGCTATAAAAAGCAGGTGATCTAAAAGCTGCTGTTGACAGCATCTTGGCCAAGACTTCTCATTTCATACGGCGCTCACCGAGAGGCTGACCAAAAGACACGTGGCTGGCTTTGACCCCTTCTTGGATTCACGCAGCTACAGGTCGAAGAGCTATCACGGACACAACACCGAGGTTATCCTTCTTGGCTTTCAGCGGACGCTTGGACAACAGTAATAACCGAACCCTGTCGCTGAAACGGCAAAAAGAAGCCGCCGAGTACTTTGAGTGCTGCATAATTCAGAGATTCTGAATTTAACTTGTTTTGCAGTGGATACTGGGCTGGTGGTCGCACACACACAAGCGTGCGTGCATCCACTTTGTGAGATTTGTTCAGTCAGCTTTGTGTATCTGCTCTAACACAGAATTTCCCGCTTTGCTGCACATACTGAATCTTCTGCCCAGCTCAGCAGAGCAGCACACTCATCCAGCTGAACCGGCCCATTCATGCTCCTCCTCACACTGGCTCCTCTCTTTGAGGAGATTCATTTAATGCATTGGGCTAAATGGAGCTTCATGCTGTCTGGGTCACCTGCTAAAGGGAGGCAGTACGGTTTTAAATGCAGGCAGGCATGTAAACAATTGGGGTGCAGATGAAGAAGAGGATGGCGTAGCTCTTCACGTGTGATTCAGACTTTCATTAACCCCAAAGAAATAACTGTTAGGCTGTTACTACGCTTTTATTGATGGCCTTATATATCATGCAGCGATTGGTGAACACGAGGGAAAAAGCTCCCATGGCAGCAGTTGAGTAGCAGTGCATGTAATTCCTGTAAGCTTGTTAGACGGCATGCAATATTTCAGTCTGGTAATGGTGCTGTTTCAGCATTTTGAAAGCGGACCAAGTGATTTAAAGGCCTTGAATATAAAAGCAGTAGTTTGTATTATCTAAATGTGTGAACAATGAAATGACTGACAGTATGGCGGCTACAGAGACCTCAGTCGGAGGGCGTGTGATCGTCTTCGCTCAAAGCATATTCCTCCAGAGCGTAGCTCTCTGTGTAAACCCTGTTTGAGGTCTGGATTGTAAATTCAGACTGGAAGCAGTCGAGCTGCATCACGTCTCTACTGCGTACACGAGAGAAGTCTGTATTTACATGATGTTTGTGTTTAAAAGATGACGCGTGCTGGCTCATTTGTCAAGCAATCAACAGCCCAGTTTGTATGGAAATAACCCAGTCTGTCCACACACACACACACACACACACACACACACACACACACACACACACACACACACACACACACACACACACACACACACTGGCTACAAGCCTGTTTATAACAATAGAAATTGTGATTGATCTGTCCTACCTCAGTCCAGTAGCCATAAGGTCCCACTTACTATCTGGGCCCTATTGGAAAGGCAAACACAGCTGGTGCTACAGGCTAAACGAGTGCCCGGCGCTGGGATGTTCAGCTGACGCTGTGCGTCTTGCATTGTCCTCCATGATGGATGGAGCAAATTCTGGGTACACATTTACAACAACGTCCCAGCTGCTCAACAGCGGGTGGATGTAAACTATTTTTGTTTTTGTTTTAAAGAAAACTAAAAAGCCCTCACCTCTTTTTAAATAATTTTTTTTATTATTAATTTGTTTTTTATAGTTAATTAAGACACCACATTTCTTGTCATACTCGTCTAACAGGTACCCAACTGCAATGGGATCCTTTCAGAAGATGACAAATGATGAATCCGGGCGATACAAACGTCGGAAATAAAGTTAAGATGCTCATAAATCCATCATCGTGCACACATGGATGCAACTGTATCCGGTAGTCCATTCATCCCAGCCTTACCTTCAGCAGTCAAATATCAATCATCACAATTGCACAACTGCAGTCTTGCACGATATTGATGTTGCTTCGCTTCGTTCGCTCGCTCAGAAGCTCGCTCCAGTCCATGTCCTTATCTGCACAGTTTCCTGGGCTTTGTGAAACATGCAAAGTGTTTCGAGGGTCTTTGGCAGCCGTTGCATTCATGTTATGTTGAGGAACATTTTCAGGCTCATTAGCACCCCTCTGCCCGTCCAGCCCACTCCCTACTGTAACAGTTGGCGGTTTGATCTCTGAGATAGATAAGCTCTATTCTTTACTTCTTAGTCTCCAGCCTTTGTCACGTTGGCGTGCGGCCAGTGTAAACACAGACGGGGTCCTGATTGCTTTAGGTAACCAGCAATCCTGACGTCCACTCATGGAACACGCTCAATTAAAGATTCCTCTAAAATCCTGTTTTTTCCGAAGAGGTAAATGTTTTTAAATAATCTGTTTCCTGAGCTGATATCATCATCCAGGCTTGTTCGGCTCACGGGCCTCGTCTGTTCGAAGGAAAAGGATGTAGAAGTGAAGGGCTTCATTGTGCCGCAATAAGAGCAATGAAACGGAGTGTGTAAGAACATTTTATCAGGTTAATGTGAAATTGTGGCTAAATGGTGTAAGACAGGCCTCACATCCTCAACCTAAGCCGAGCGGTAAATCAGCCAGGCTGCTGTAGGAGATCCTGTGTGTGCTTATTTTCTATGGCACCCCTTCTCTACCTCAAACTGTAGTTTAGACACTTGGGTTTCCCTCCCAGAAACTTCCAGCTCCATTTTTCTGTGTTCGGCTAGTGCCAGGACACGATCTGAGCTGTTACGTAAGAGCCGTTTAATGCAGGGCTGGGCTTCCCTGGCTGCGAGTGACAAACGTACCCACTGCCCGGCTGGCTCTCTGTGACACTCTGGCTCCACAAGAAACTGCCGGGATGGTTTTTCACACCTGATGGCTGCAGGTGCCAAACACCAAGCGGCTTTATCTACCCAGAAAG